GTGCGTGCGTGCGTGCGTGCGTGCGTGCGTGCGTGCGTGCGTGCGTGTGTGTGTGTGTGTGTGGTCATATTCGTTGACTGAATGATTCGTTGATTGATTGATTATATATATAGATTCACATTCTGATAACCTACTCCTGACTTCATGCTTGCCTGACTCTCGGCGCTGTGCAGACCCTGACATTCACAATGTCAGCGTGAGGCGGAGACGCTGTCCCCGCTCGATCGTCGCCCAGTGCGGCATCTCCGCAGGGGACACCCTCTGCTCGTCAAAGCGTCAGTCAATCTACATGTGTTGCGCAGGGGTTGTTGGGTGTTTCACCGCACAGCGTTGGTTCGGAGGTCCGGTTAGGGAAAAGGCGCCGTGGTGGCATATCGCCTGTGACATGCGGCGTCGTTGGCTCCGGCATGACACACATTTTGCCTTTCGCTGGTGTGCTGGGGGCTTCTCCACCGGGTGTGCCCGCGGTTCGTAACACTGCCGCGTATGGAGGTGTGTTTGGTGGTCCGTTGCTGCCGTCCCCGCTCCTGCCTAGACGGCTGGACTATGCGGCCACGATTCCTCCGGCACCTGTATGGTCACATGCGGTAGCCCCGTCATGTCCCGCTGGAGGCGCTTCTCTTTCAGGAGATCGCAACGACGCTTGGCGTAGTCGAGCCGTTTCCCGTCCACGAGTCGTCAGCACGGCGGTCGGTTCAATCGTGGTGCCGCCTAAGTCTCCCTACGTCGCTCCTAATTCCACACCTCCGGTTGACGATGTCGATAGCTTTGCGGCAGTCGGTGGCACGCCATTTTCGCCTGGCAACAACATTGTGCGTGTGTGTGTGCAGGACGGGTGTCGGAGGCGGTTGTACGCTCTCCGCGATGCTATGGCCAGTGTGGGTGACCATCGTGGACCGGTCAGCGACGTTATTGATCGGCTGCTCCACTGGTCCTTGTCAGCCATCCGTGCGGAGTTTGGTGTCGGGGTAGCAGGTGCGATGTCTTCGACGTTGTGATCTCGGGTGTGCGGTCGAGATTTCACGTTGCGTTATTTGCCAGGCGATTCCGGTGCTGACTACGGTCAGGGGGGTTCGCAGGGTTCAGCGAGCGGAGGGTTGGGGGAGTCGCAGGAGGGATCGCAGAACTCGTTCCCGTCGTCGCATCGTGCATCGCAGCGCAGTGACAGAGGGCGTGGTAGACCCCGCAGCACGGGTCGGTACACACAGACACCTACCCGGCCGCAGACGTGGTGGGACAGTTGGGAAGGTGTTGACCAGTGCGGTCCCGGGCCGGAAACTGACCGTGCCAGTGTTCAGGAGATGATGGCACTGTGGAGTGGACCGACAACGCCGGATGTTGTGTTTCTCGAGCCGGTCAAGCTCCTTCAGTTGCTGGCCATGTTGCATCTATATTGGCTGTGGCACAAGGGCTCGTGCCGTGTGTCTGTGGAGTCTGTCTCCTATCCAGCGCAGCTCTGTAAGCTGATGTTCGTATGCGATAAGAAATGCAAATGGACGTGGCACACGGCACTCGTGACCACGAACGTCTATCACTCGCGACTGCAGCAGCAACTCTTTCATGCGACGGTCACCACCGGCCTGACGTTCACGCTCCTCGATAACTTTTGTGTTGGTTTAGGGATGTGCTCGGTGCACAAACCCACGTTCTACAAGTTTATGCGCACAGAGGCAAGGGAGGCGGAGGGGTGGAATGAGAAGGTCGTACGGCAGGGCATTAAATATTGCGAGCTTGCCATTGACACTGTGATGCGCCGTGGTGAGCCAGTGACATTGATGGTCGATGGTCGATATGACTCGGCTTGTTGTGGGTGTGCACACTCTCCGTCCGAAGATCGAAGGCAAGGCATCGAATGCGCTTGAGGTGCCAGCCGTCGTGCAACTTTTGCGAGGGCTGATGGAGAAGGGGTTGAAGATCCGGTGCGTTGTCTCGGATGATTGTGCCACGCTGGGACCGCAGTTGCGAGCTTTCAACATCGAGTAGCAGAAGGATTGCCACCACAAAATCAAAAACATTCGCAAGCACTTCCATAGTATGCTGCAACTAAAGGAAGCGAAGAAAGTGAGTAACCCGCACGAGTGTGTGTCGAAGGCGCAGTTTATGCAGTTCACGAAGAAGCGGCTGATAGAGGCGTTGGAGCAGCGTTTCGGACCTGGCGTCCTCACACCTGCTGAGGAGCGGATGAAGAAATCGGATTTCGTCGCTGTCGTCATGCGGAAGATGTAGCCCTACGGATCGAGGTCGAACGCTCGAGCGTTGGAGACTGATCCTGACGGCTTGACAGAGTATCATGCGCATGAGGTCGGGATGTGGTTCCTCCACGCTTGTCAGCTGTCCAGGGACGAGGGTGGAGACACCATCAGTTTGCACCGCGACATCATGTTGGTCGCCGCTCATTGGGCTGGTGATGATTCGGAATGTGTCGGTGGTAGGGAGGTTTTGTGCGAGAAGGCCGGTGGGCCTGCACGATTGCCTTTGTATAGCCGCACGGACACGGTGTACGAGCTCGTTCTGCGTGTTCTTGGGAAACAATGCAGCACTAACACCACGCCGTACTATGTCGAGTTTCGACACACATCGGCGGTGGAGACTTTTCAGGGCACCATCATCATCTATGCGAAGAAGTCGGTGCATTTCGAGAAGTCTTACTGTGCGCGTCTGGCGATCGCAGTGATTCGGTGGAACAGTCACTGCTGGCGCGACCCAGTCGGGTACGTTGCTCGCATAGCTGCGGGTACTTCCATACGTCCGAGATCAGGCTTCCGTCGACAGAACGAGGAGGCGGTCGACTCTTGGCAGGCCAGGTTGTCGGCGTCCGTGTTCGGTTCGGCTCGTGTTTCTGACTGGGCTCGAGAGCTTCTGCGACAAGAGGTTTGTCCTTATGGAGCCGGGTCATTGCCGCGCGATCTGTTCATCGCGGGTGGGGGCGACCCAGTGAAACTCGCTGATGATGCTGCCTCCGGATCTGACCATGAGGTGGTGGGGGAGAATCGTATTTTCATCATCGGTCACGTGGAGGAGGATGTGGTGCCTGCATGCGATGATTTCGAGCCGACATCGAGCTCGGAATCTGAGGGTGACGATATAGAGTTGTTCAGCGTCTGACTGGTTGTTTCGTTCACCTGACTTTCATCTGTTGATCCGATAATCATTGCGCACAACATTGTTCTCACACATCTCATGGTGTCTTGTTTGTTACGCTATATTTTTTCTTACTTTTTTTTTAATGTTGTTATACGTATATATATATATGGTGTCTTKTTTKTTWCKCTATATTTTTTYTTWYTTTTTTTTTWWTKTTKCTATAYRTATATATATATATATATATATATATATATATATATATATATATATATATATATATATATATATATATATATATAWAGAAGCGGACACTATTTTGTGTGATTCTAGTTTGTTTGTCTCTTTGTCTGTCTGTCCTTTCATTGTTGTTTTTTTCGCCCATCTTGTTTCTTGTACTTCACATGCTTACGCTCTTAGGCAATAGTTCTTTGACAATATATAGCCGAACCAATTCTGAGTTACACGTTGATCCAATAATACAATGATATCCAGTTGCAACAATAAATGAATGAACTTCAATGGAGAGAGCGAGGATTAGAATCGTTTAGAGTCCATAGCCAATAGTAAAATGACATCTAGTTGCAACAATAAATGAATGAACTTGAGTGGAGAGAGCGAGGATTAAAATCGTATTGAGTCCATAGCCAACAGTACAATGCCATCCACCTGTCGTATTTAGTCCATAGCCAATAAATGAATGAACTCATAAAGTTTGGAGAGAGATTGGGAGAGAGAGAGAGAGATCGGGAAAGAGAGAGAGAGAGAGAGAGAGAGAGAGAGAGAGGGAGAGAGAGAGAGAGAGAGAGAGAGAGAGAGAGAGAGAGAGAGAGAGGATCGATTCTCGGCAGAGTGTGTGAGTCCACCTGTTGTAAAGTATCACAACCGGTATAGTATGACACACACGCATACTCAGACACCTGGTAAACACGTACTCACAAACATCCTATCCTCA